TGTGGTACGACTTTCAACCAAAACTTGAAAACTCTAATCAGGCTGGACATCATATTTCCACCGGGAAATGATATTTTTTACCAAACCGGGAAATGATGTTTTGGGAGAAGAACAATGACAATGAAAGAAGCTGACTCGAAAATCGACATGTTAACTATTAATAAGGACCGGAACGGCTCGATCGTTTCGAGCTTCACTTACAGGGGCAGTGTTATTTTCCCATTTTAAAGCATCTAAAGTCTAGCTCAGCTTTAGATCCAGTGGACAAGAAATCTCAATGGAAGTTACACCAATTGTTGCCTGTCATTTGCTGGCCATGCCCTATCCGGCTCGGGGCCACATCAACTCTTTGCTCAACTTCTGCAAATTGCTGGTCATTAATAACACTCATATTCTTGTCACCTTCGTCCTCACCGAAGAATGGCTCCATTTCATCGGCTCCGATAATCCTGCACCAGCTAATCTACGCTTCACCACCATATCTAACGTAATTCCGTCGGAGCTGGTTCGCGCAGCCGACCAAGTCACCTTCATGGAAGCTATTATGACCAACATGGAAACTCCCTTTGAGCAGCTTCTGGATCGGCTCGAGCCGCCGCCCACGATCATCGTGTACGATTCTCTTTTGTTCTGGGTAGTTGGCGTCGGAAATAGAAGGAATGTCCCTCTGGCATCGTTTTGGACCATGTCGGCGTCGATTTTCTCAGTGCTCCACACCACCATCTCCTGGAGCAAAATTCTCACTACCCCGTAAATTTTTCTGGTGAGGACAATTTATCTTTTTTCTGCCCCCTTAGCTGATGAGCACACGATCATTTTGTTAAGGAAACTAAATTTCAAAAATCTATCCGCTTGTCTTGAACTGTTTTGGAACAGAAAATGGTGACAAACGAGTGGATTATATTCCCGGAATTCCACCATCTCGTCTGGCAGATTTTCCTCTCAACGATGAAAGCCTGCGTACCCGGCGACTTATGGAACTAGCAAGGGAAGGCATTGCATGGACTCCGAAAGCACAGTATCTCTTATTTGCTTCAGTGTATGAACTCGAGCCACAAGCTATCGATGTCTTGAAAGCAGAATTATCTTTCCCCATTTACACCATCGGCCCTACCATACCTTGTTTCGATGCCGGAGAAAAAACCAAATTGAACATTGACACCACCACGGCTAGCCATAGCTACTTACAGTGGCTAGACAACCAACCCAAAAATTCTGTTCTGTACATCTCACAAGGGAGCCATTTCTCAGTTGCAAAGGCTCAAGTCGACGAGATTGCTTCTGGTTTGCGTGAAAGCGGGGTTCGATTTCTCTGGATAGCACGAAGGGAGGCTTCTAGGTTGAAGGAGATTTGCGGTGAGAAGGGGTTGGTTGTGGAATGGTGTGAGCAGTTGAAAGTGTTAAGACATCCTGCAATAGGAGGCTTTTGGACGCATTGTGGGTGGAATTCAATAGAAGAAGGGATTTTGGCAGGCGTTCCGTTCCTGACATTGCCAATCATAATGGACCAGGGCTTAGACAGTGCGATGGTAGTGGAGTGGTGGAAGGTTGGGTGGAGGGTGAAGGACGACGTCCAAGCAAACAGAGTGGTGAAAAAAGATGAAGTTGCGGGGCTTCTGAAAAAGTTTATGGATATGGAAAGTTATGAAGGGAGAGAGATGAGGAAAAGAGCCAAAGAGCTTCACCACACGTTTCGTCGTGCAATTGCAGATGGTGGCTCTGCTCAAAATGATTTCGATGCTTTTGTCAGGGACATTACGAATGCTGCCAAGTGATTTTTTGTTTGGGTGTGACCGTGTATGGCGAGCCCGGAGCACATGGAATATGAAAAAAATAAAATAATAAAATAAAATTTAAAGGTTTTTTTATTTTTAAAAACTAATTTTTAGGTTTTTAGACTGCTCCAAATTATAATTCCAGATAAAGAAATGTGTACTATCCATTGACTGAATCAGCAGGCACTTGTCGAAAACCGGTCGTCTAGGCATGTCAGGCCAGTCTTTGGGCCTGGTGCCGGTTTTCCAAAATATTTTTTGTAAATAATATTTATTTTATAATATTATTTTTTATTGAGAGTTATGATGAATTATACTCCCTTAATTAAAAAAATTTAAATTTTTTTTAAAAGTTGTATATTAAAAAATATAAAATATTATTAATTTTTTAAGATATAATTATTTTTTATTAATATTTTTATTAATAAATGATTTGGATATAAAAGTGTTTATTGATTTATTATAAATATTTTTTATTTTAAAATATCTTATAATCTAAGAAGAGGGTATATATTATGTGGCAGGAGATGAATGGCGCTAGAGGACATCCCATCGACCTTGCATGATGAAGGTGATAGGAAAGGAACATGGCGTGGCACGCCGGTATTGATGATGAGAATGACGCGTACGAGCAATGAGATTGAAAGATTGGAAGGATGTGATTGTGTTTCCGTTGGCGTACGTAACTTTCTTGCTCTTACGGCCGCCAACATTGATGATGGCTACCACTGCGCCACAGCCCAACTGACAAACTTCAAACATCCCATTTTGTGTCTGCCAAATTCAATGAAACTGGGCTGGTTATTAAAATATGGACAGTGCTCTTCAGTGCTCGAATTGATTGCAGTTGAACAAATTATATTATAGATTGAACAAATAAGATTATAAATAATTATAATTTTTAAAAATAATATTAATTAAAAGTCATATTGATAAATCATAATTGTTGTTTGGATTTTTTTAAAAAAATTAATTATCAAAATTTTAATTCTGTTTGAATTTTATTTATCAAAATCATGTTTGGGTATATAATTATCCAAAAAATATGATTTTTATAAAATTATTTAATTTTATATAATAATTATTATCAAATATAACTTAATAAAAATCTAACCATGCTTTTTTGAACGCATAAGCATGTGTTGGATAGCTCATTAATCAATTTTTTTTAAAAAAATCAATTTTATATGAAATTACTCAAACGGCAACATTTATAAAAAAAATTAATTTTATTTTTTAAAAAAATTAATTTTTTTGCAAAGCTGAGAATTGGAGGGTTCGCAAAAAAAGCTTACCAAGAAGCTTGGAAAAAATTACAAAGAAAAACTTAAAAAAATTACAAAAAAAGTACATAATTTAATTAAAAAAAATCAAACTCTTTTTCCTTCTCTTTCTTTTCTTAATAAAATTTAAAATTTATATCCTTAAAAAATTAATGTTTGATATTTAAGAATTAAATTATATAATAATTTATATAGTTAAAATTGATTCTGATTAAATTATTTAAATATCTTCAGTTATGTTAAAATCAACTTTAAAAGAACAGTATCCAAACATATTGCATTATAATATAATTAATTATGATTAAAATTTATCACTTAACTATATTTTTATAATTTATTATACTCAATTAAAATTTAAACGGGTACTAAGCACCTCTTTGTAATTTCTACTCAATGTACAGTAAAGAATTCAAATCGCGATTGAAAAGGATTTAAAAAAAAATTATTCAAACAATGCAAATGAACTTTATAATCACTTACATAAGATTAAATGAGATTATCTAGGCATCCACAGCTAACCAAAACAGGCACTAAGTATTGAGGAATGATCCGTTCTATTAGACAGCAGGATCCAGCTCTTGTTATTATTGCACCCCTTAATTTCCACTTTTATTATATCAATATTGACTGACAAAACTTGTCCCTATTGTAGAGCGTTTTTAATTGTTTCACTAATTTAAAAAAATTATTTTTTATCTTGATATTATAAAAATAATGTATATTTTTATTTTTATCTTTAATTTTAAATAATAATACATCTTTACAAAAAACTTATTTGTTAAATAAAAAATTACTTTTTAAAAGTGTTATATAAATAACATCAAGGGAGTATTTAATCAAACTACACTGGATGTGAATTGACCTTTGCGATGCAAAACACTTAAGGAGAAACCTCAAGCAACACTACGGCCTCGTTTGGTATGATGGAAAAATTTTTGATGGAATTAGAATTAGAATTGAAATTAGAATTAGAATTGGAATCAGAATAGAATTAGATTTTAAAAAAGTGTTTGGTATGAAGATGGAATCTTAATATAATTTTAATAAATATATATATTTAAAATATAAAAAGACTAAAATGCCCTTATAAAATAAAAAACTAAAATAAAGCACAGATAAAAAACGCCACCGTCTGCGACCAAAACACCATCAACATCGACACTCCATCAATGGCAGCCACCGACCACTGCACAGATCAGAAACAAAACATCCAAAAGCCATACAAATGCAAAACCCCATACATGGATCAAGCCACAGATTTGAAGAACTACAAGTCCATGCCTTCAATTTCATCTTCCTTCTTGGGTCTGACTTATATTGCTCGTTTCACTCATCGCCACAACTTTCCGATGCAAGCAATTACACTGACAATAATGACGCCAACTTCACCCTTTACTCCAACAAACAATTTGCAAGCTACAGATCATCTCAAATCATTGGCAAGCTGTGTCCATCAGCTTGGAGGTGTGATGAAGGGAGGAAGTTGGAAGAGATGACGAGAGGGGGAGGTGAAGCATGGATTTGTCATCAGAGATTGAGGAAGCGGAAGGGATGACCGGAGGGGGAGGGGGAGGAGTCGATCAGCTTAAAGATGTGAGGGAGAGGGTAAAATGGAACAAAAATGCAATTCTATGGAATTGAATGGATTCCATAGTTCACAATAAAGAATTCAATTCTGGATTTTTTGATGGAATCTGATTTCATGAGAATCATGATTAAGACATACCAAACATTCTTGAAGGAGGATTCCATATCAAATTCCGTTTCTCTCTTCCTGATTCCAGCATACCAAACATAGTATACATTTTACATTCGCCAGAAACTTAAACCAGCTTTAAAAAATTGAAGAAATCTTTTATGAAAATGGGCTTCCAGTATCTCAAAAGAACGTTTTGTTCCAAAAAAAAAAAAAAAAGAGCTCAAAAGAACGTATCATTAATTATTATCACTGTTCCCCACAAATGGGATCCTTCTCCGGGAGGTAGACGTTTAGGCCTGGCCTTCCTCCCTGACCGCCCACTGCTACTTCACTTGCTCCATTTCCACGCTCCCAGCTTCCCTCCTTCGTTCGGATCTTTCAATGGATCCTTCCCCGCCGATGGACGGCCACGTGGTGGTCGTGCCCTACCCAGGCCGAGGCCACATCAACCCCTTGATGCACCTCTGTAACCTCCTCTTGTCCAAGAACTCCAACATCCTCTTCACCTTTGTCATCACCCAAGAATGGCACGGCTTCATAGGGTCCGATCCGAAGCCGGACAACATCCGGCTCAAAACCATACCCAACGTCATCCCCTCCGAGCGGGGTCGCGGAAACGACATCGTCGGCTTTCTCGATGCCGTCATGACCAGGATGGAGGCTCCGTTTGAACAACTACTGGATCGGCTCCACCCGCCGCCGACGTTCATCATACATGACACCTACTTGTTCTGGGTAGTTGGAGTCGGCAACCGCAGGAATATTCCTGTAGCCTCGTTTTTCCCCATGTCGGCGTCGTTTTTCTCGGTGCTCTACCATTACCGTCTTTTCGAGCAAAACGGACATTACCCTGCCAATTTGTCGGGTGAGAATTCTATTCCATTTCCATTTGACCACACATACATCTCATCTGGTCAAAGATGGTCAGGCCAGAAACGATTGAAAGAAAAAAGCTTGTCTACGTGAAAATCAGACCATTTTTTTAAGGTCAAATTTATATTTCTTGCACGATGTCAAATAAAAAAAAAAACAGAAGAAGAAAAATCTCGCGTGTTCGTCACTCATGTTATTGTTCAAGTATCCCTGGCTTTCTATTAGACGGCCTGTTCAAAATTTTTAATTGTTTTTTTTTTTGTTTTTGCCAGCAATTTACATTGGTTTGACTCCCTTGGATTCTCACATTTTTAAGTATTTTAATAAACTAGACATGTTACATGGAACTTGGAATGATGGCTGGTATGGTAAATTGATATCGATGAAATTCATGCATTTCCCCGTTTAGTTTAATGCACTGAGTTCACTCATGCCACGTTCAACAACTATTGACATGATTGTTAAATAAACAATTTTGATTCGAAATAAACTACTTTGCTGATCAAGTGATCAGACTCAGCAACTGGCAAACTGAACCATGACATAAAATGACCAAGTCACTTTCCTTGAGGTGTCCACACTTGGAGAAGATTGATTCAATATTTGCCATGCTTTAAACAGAAAATGGTGATGTTCTGTTCCTGAAGGACTTCAAAGGTGCTAGAATGAGGGTATAGAAAGATTGAGGTAGATATTCCATGTGTTGATAGTTATAATTTTATTACTAGGGAGTCCTGCTGCGATCACCCACTGCAAGAGCTTATCTTGGACATCAGGCAGCTTATTCTCAGAGATTGGAGTGTTTCTTTTAATTTCTCTTGTAATGATTCTAGTTTTTTGGTCTTGATATTATTAGAAATTGTTTGCATATCTGTAATTCTTTTGGCACCTTTTACTTTTAACCCACTCAATTAAGGGAGGGTAGATGGTGAAAGGTGGAGTTCTTTTTTGGTTTTTGTATTTTGTACAGTTTCCTTTGTTTCTAATAGAGCTTTATTTTCTTTTTTTAAAAAAAAAAAACAGAAAATGGTGATGAGCGCGTGGATTACATCCCTGGGCTTCCCCCAACACGTTTGGCGGATTTCCCACTGAACGATGGGAGCTGGCAAAGCCGGAAAATTCTGCGCTGGATCGTAAAAGCCTTTCAATGGGTGCTCAAAGCACAGTATCTGCTATTCCCGTCCATTCTCGAGCTTGAATCTCAGGCCATCCATGCCCTGAAAGCTGATTTCCCCATTCCCATTTATACCATTGGCCCTGCCATACCTCATCTTTCTCTTAAGCACAATCCCTCTTCATGCATCACTGACCAAAATGACCCCAGCTACATGAAGTGGCTGGACACCCAACCCTCTGGTTCTGTTCTGTACGTCTCTCAGGGAAGTTTTCTCTCTGCTTCAACTGCTCAGCTTGAAGAAATCGTGGCTGGTTTGCGAGCAAGCGAGGTTCGATTCCTCTGGATAGCACGCGGAGAGAATTTGAAGCTGAGAGAGACTTGCGGGAATATGGGTCTGGTGTGTTCATGGTGTGACCAGTTGAGGGTACTGTCACATCCTGCCATAGGAGGGTTCTGGAGTCACTGTGGGTGGAATTCTACAAGAGAAGGTGCCTTCGCTGGCGTTCCTTTTCTTGCTTTCCCGTTGATTATGGATCAGCCCATGAACTGTAAGCTCATTGTGGAGGACTGGAAGACAGGGTGGAGAGTGAAGAAAGGGGTTAAAGAAGGCGTCTTGGTGACTGGAGATGAAGTTGCAGGGATTTTGAAGACGTTTATGGATTTGAGTAGTGATGAAGGAAGAGAATTGAGGAAAAGAGCCAAACAAGTTCAGCAGATATGTCGGCTTGCAATTGCAGACGGTGGATCGTCAGAAACTAATGTCAATACATTTCTAAGGGATTTGTTACAGTGTGGTAAGCCATGAAGGCACCCCAACAACAATGAGTAGTTCTTAGGAATTCGTTGAATATTAATGATCTGAAAATTTGTATCATTAATCAGTCAATTAGTTATGCCATGGTTTTGAAGCCGAGGATCCACGCGTCCTTATTATTACTCAAGGAGATTTACTCGTCAAGGGAGAAGAGCTAATCGAGTTTTAGCGCTCTTCAAGGGGATGGGTACTATGAACACATGTAATAGGATTTAGATTTGAAACTTCTAAATTAAATTTGCATTGCATATTTAAAGCTTTTATTTTTTATTTTTATTTTAAAATTATCAAAATAAAAATATATAAAAATTATAAAAATTTAATAAACTTGCTTTGTGATTGTTCATTATTAAGCTGAACGGTTTATATTTAATTTAGATGGTTTAAATTTAATATTAATTTTTTATAAATTAATTATTTAAATTTATGCTGAACGATTTAAGTTTAAAATTTTTGACTTGTAATTTTTTTTAAAAAAATGTTTTTTTGAGAGTGTCAATTGAAAAATTATCTTTACATTCAATATTTTATTTATGAAAATAAAAATTTAAATTTTTAAAAAATTCTAATATTAAAGTTGAACTGTCACATCATGATAATTAATTTATAAAAAATATAAATTTTTTAAATATTGTTAAACTATCTTAGATTAAATCTATACGATCCAAAATTAGTGGTTACAGCTTTATTAAAAATTTTGATAAAATTTAATAAATAAAAAATAAATTAAATAAAAATTTTGTATCTGGACCGTCTTAATTTAAGTAGACAATTCAAAATTTATCAAAAGTGATAAGTATTATGATGTTTATCCTTTGATGAGCACTAAATCCAAGTTCCTGAGGAGTAATTTAGTGTTTCACGTGCACCGAACAAGCTTTAATACTGTTTAAAGTTTACTACTATTTATTCACCAAATAAAGTTTACCACTATTTTTAATAAAATCGATTAATTTATGTTCCCACTATTTTGTTCTCCTACGATTTATGTTATTCTTTCTGCTGCTTTCTTTTTCTTAGCGAAATTTGTTTTTGCTTAACAGATTGAATGAATGCTGGTGAAATCCATAAATTATCTCTTGTTTCTTTTAAAATCTAGTTGATAAATTGTTTTGCAGTCTAATAAAAATAAAATAAATTATACGCAAGAATTATAAACCTGCGCCAATGGAGTAACTTACTCTCTTTGTTTAAAAATATAAGGTATTTTTTGAAGAGTTAGATGTTTAAAAATGTAAAGTATTTTTAATTTTTTGAGGTGTAATCATTTTTTTTCAAAAGTGCCCATATTGATAATGATTTTATATTTATTTTAAGGTGTTTAATAGATGTAAATATGAAGAAATAAGGTTAGTTGAAAAGTAGATAACTATTTTATTGGGGGGTGAGATTCGATTAAAAATACCTTACATTTTTGAACGGGAGGAATATAACTTTATCTTTTTATAGACTGTTTTATAAATAATTTAAAATATTAACAAATATTTTTTTAAAAATATTTTAATCATTAAATTAGTCTTTTATTGAGAGAATCACATCCAAGAATTTGTAAAGACAATTATTCACAAATAAGGATGAACAAAAAAATAAATTATTATTTTTTTAATAAAACTTGTTATTAATTTTTTTCAAACCTTAGGATACAATTTGCTTTGTTTTTTCTAATTAACTTTTGGGTGAGGAGATGGGCAAAAGTTTGCACTTGTAGATGATTAGATGCCAGGAATGAGGAATCTCGTGAAAATCATATCTGTGTGACTGTAGGAAGTGGATTCTCTTCATTTCTTTTCTCTCCATTTCCCTCCACTTCTTCCATCCCTATCATTTAAATTTTTTTATTAAATAATTTTTTTAAATAATAAAATTAATGAATGGTGGAGATGGGAGAAGTAAAGGAAAAGAGAGGAGAAAAAATGAAGAGACCCCTAATCCGTCCATATATTGTGACTTCCCATTGCTAACCAATCAACCGTGTCTCATGGAACCATACCTGCACAACCAGCCAGCATGGACGACACTGTCGGATCCATAAAATACTTTCTCCCTTTAAAAATTTATTAAATCTTACTATCTAGTAAATTAGTTAAATATTTTTAAATTAATATTATTTTTTATATTTATTCTATTATAATAAAGTGTTTTACTCTAAAATAAATATAAAGTAAATATTTAACAGGGTAATTTTTTTTTAAAAATACAATAATTTAAAATATTAAAAATATTTTATATTTTTTAATATCAACCTATTAAAAAATGTTTTATATTTTTAAATAAAAAAATAATAAATATACATGATGGGTGGGCCGGTGGGGGAAAGGGGGCTGAAATTTAGAGCGAATTTACTTACGGGTGCAAAAACATATTTCAAAGTTTTTTACATGATGCAACGCTGTATATTTTTCTAAAAAACAACTTCACAAATCACAACACCATTAAGATTCGTTTGGTCATTAGAAAAAAATAAATTTAAAAAAATAAAAATAAATTAAATTAAATTATTTTTTAATAAATATAATAAAATTTATTAATATATATCATAAATTTGAGAATTATTACATTCTCTAAAAATATAATGAATTATAATTTTAAATTTTATGAATTAAATTAGCTTTTTTTCTTATGAATGCTCTCACTTGATTATCTTATTTTTTTAATTTATTTTATTCCAATTTTTTAGTAAGCAAACAAACCTAAAGTTTATGATTTGGAAAAAAAGGAGTATTTTGTTTAAACATTACGGTAAGAATTTCGGACACACGACCATTGTTGAACCACTAAAAATTTTAAGAGTTAAATTTCATAATTAATAAAATAAAATTGAAGGCCTTTAGACGAATGACGATACATGGCATCGCGACATTAGCAAACAAAAGATACCAAATGCTTGGCTGAGGACTAGTTTCGATTTTACGGACTTTGTTTGCCATCTAAAAGGTCTCTCCTTTTTCTCCATGCCTTCGAAATAATGGAACCAAGCCTCTCCCATGGCTTCCTTCTGTCTAAACTCCGTACCAGTCCCCCCACCTCATCCTCGTAAACTCACTGAAGCTTCTTCCTCTTCTTTACTTCTTGATGGTAACAACTATACCCCAGCGGGGGCTTTGAAACCCATAGTTGTCAACGGGAATCCCCCGACTTTTGTCTCTGCTCCTGGTCGCCGAATTGTGGCTGGTTCGTTCTGAGTTTTCTTGTTTCTGCTACTTTGTTTTTGTGATCAATAACCAATATGGTTAGCAATTCCCAAGTCGTGTTCTTTTGTCTATTTCATCTGGTTTCTTTGTTACATTATGTCCTTTCTCGCGGTCTTCCATGTGGGTCTCAGTCATGATTTATTGTCCAGTTTCCCGTTCCAGCTGGGTTTGTGCAAATGTGTGTATCAGTATATGGATTTGTCTTTCGTTGAGTATGGGGTCACTATCTCCCTGACTGTTCAGTCTTGGTGTGCATTGTGTGAATCTAGTACTTTTGTAAGTTACATCGTGAAAGCCTCATTGAACATTATCCCTTTCTATTTTCGCTTCTCATAGTCAGTGCCAGAGGTCTTATTATGCTTTTAAGTAAGAATAGTAATATGCGTGGCCCGATTTTAGCACATTTTGCCCTGTGATGGAATATGACCAACTGGCATTAAACTTCATTTCGATAGATTCACCTAAATTAAAACTCTGACAAAAGCAGAACTGATTTACTGATGTTTCCTTGGCGCCTTAAACGTTAATGTGTGGATCTGTCCTAGCTCTGACTTCTTTGTTCACAGAATCTTCTTCATGTTGTCTCAAGCACCTCTCTCTGTAGCCTTAGAAGTGTGAGCTGATTATTGCACCCAAAATTTGTAACTATTTAATTATTTGATTGATAATTGGTTGACTTAGATTTTGACATTTTAGTAAGGTTTTCCATCTTCATGTGATGGCCACTGCTAGGATGATGGTCTTCAAGCATGTCCTTTTCTGATAATTTGACCTAGTTTTGATCTTGATAACATTTCATTTGTGTTTAATATGTCTCATTGAGGTTTGTTTTCTTTGATAGTCGGAGATCTACATGGAGATCTTAGGCAAACTAGATTTGCGCTTGAGATGGCTGGTGTATTAAGCTCTGATGGTCAAGACCTCTGGACTGGTGGAGAAACTGTATGCTTCCTTTATTTTTCAAAATGCATACCTGGAATCTTGGTTAGAATAAGCAATGATATTGTATTTTAACAAAATTGTTGGAAAATGGAAAAGTACTCTCTTGTTGGCCACCAAAGGCCAAGTCAACTTAATAGTGTTGTGAACCATGTACATATGATAGTAGAGAAACTGAGGAACTTTATTGTTCTTGCTTCTCTATGCTTAAGGAAAAACTAAAAATAGATTAGCACTATGGTTAGCATAGTTTAACAGGTGACAATTTATTTTTCTCTGTACTAGGTGTTGGTTCAGCTTGGAGATGTACTAGACCGAGGTGAGGATGAAATTGCCATCTTATCTTTGCTGCGATCATTGGACAAACAAGCGAGAGCTAAAGGTGGAGCTGTGTTTCAGGTTTGTGCCATGAAAAAATAAAAATTCTTAGGAGATAAGCAAGATAACAATTCCATACCCTATACAGCATGTTTTCCTACTTTGTAATTATTGTATTTCGGATTCATTGAAACGTGCATGCTAGGTATTTAAAAAAATTAAGAATTTGGATCTTTTTTCTTTTCTGTTGCATATCTTTGTTTAAGCGATTTTCCATTGATTAATGTTCATTTAGGTAAATGGAAACCATGAGACTATGAATGTGGAAGGGGATTTCAGATATGTTGAATCTGGGGGATTTGATGAGTGCAATGATTTTCTGGAGTACATGCATGATTCAGATGATGACTGGGAAGAGACATTTGCTGGCTGGATAGATGTCTCTGAAAGATGGAAAGAAGATCAGAGGATTTCAAGGAATTATTGGGGTCCCTGGAATTTAGTGAAGGTATTATAATTCTCTATCTTGCATTCAGTTTTTGATAAATTCAAATTGGAAGGACTTAGCCTCACACCATTCCCGCAGAAGAAAGAGAATTTGAATTTCACATAAATCACATGTTGAATTCGTTTTCCATACAGATAACTTGTACTAAACCAGATCATCAGAACACTCTTCAAAGGACTAATTTAATTTGAACTCATTAAAATTGTACTCCTGAATAAAGGCACATGGATGGAAAAGTTAGTGAACTTTAAGAATATCTTCTAGTACCATTTAGACATCATATGTTACTTCTTAAAGTGACATATAATTGGTACTATTTGGAAGTGGAGCATTACGATATTGCTTCAAATGTGATATTTTGTTGTTTTCTGATAATGTTTTCCAACAACTAGGACAGAGGCAAAAAGGAGTCATTGCCAGATCAATCCTTTTTAGGCCTGGCGGTTCATTGGCACATGAGTTAGCAAGGCATCCTGTTGTACTCAAGGTCAATGACTGGGTTTTCTGTCATGGCGGCCTTCTTCCTCACCATGGTAAAAATTCTTCTGACGTTCTAATTTATCTTATCATGATCTTGAGTCTGTACTGCCAACTGTTATGTCATGTCTGCTAATCCTGTTTCAAGTATGCAAAATCGCTCTTGTTTGAATTTGAAATGCTTGATAATTTGTGTTTGTGATTTTCTTCTCCTGTCTCTTGCCTGTAGTTGAATATGGCGTGGAGAGGATGAATAAAGAAGTGTCTGACTGGATGAAAGGTCTGAGTGAGAGTGATGACAGTCCCAAAGTCCCTTTCATAGCCACTAGAGGCTATGACAGTGTTGTTTGGAATCGTTTATATTCAAGAGATCCATCAGACTTGGTGGACTTTAAGACTAAACAGGCAAGTACACAAATGTGGTAGTTTTAATTTGCAGCAAATAAATATGAAGATCTGATAAGGTAGTGGGATTAGTAGAAACATGCATCGTTTCCATCCCTCAAGCTCAAATGCCATGATCAGTGCAAAGATCCTTATTCTTTCTCTACTGCTTTTGGTTCCATTTTGCAGTGAATGTCTCGCATATTTATTTGTTTAAGTTGCACGTGCAAATGATGGACCTACATTCCATTGTCTCCTCCAATGTATGCTTCTAAGGGGCCCAGAGGAGTCATGAAACTCATTGGGTTCTAATGACTCAGAAATATCTCTCCAGAATTTGACGCTGAACATAATGATTTTCAGGTATATTCGATTCTCGAAGAGACACTACAAGCATTTGATGCTAAGGCCATGGTTGTTGGGCATACTCCTCAAACTATGGGTGTAAATTGGTGAGGAAACAATATAATTCTTAACCTTGCTCAAAATAATTTCAAGTAGTGGAGATCTTTGGGTGGAGTAATAATTTGGTATCAGATTTGATATGTAACTTAATAGCTGTCTAAGTATTGCACTTCGGAATATTTTAATGCGGCTGAACTCAAGTCTTTTTCTTTCTGCAGTAAATACAATTGTAGCATATGGCGTGTGGATATTGGAATGTCTAGTGGAGTACTTAATTCGAGACCAGAGGTATAAATAAGCCGTGGGCCAGTGCATAGAGCGATGTTTCTTCTTTATGAGCCACTAAAGGCATTCAAATGGGTGACTAAATGATGTTAAGCACCTTATTGTTATTTACTAAATATTATATTTGATAAATGCAACCATGCCCGTTTCATGATAGGAAAGCATTGAATCTCTTATGGGAAGTGACTCCCTTTGATGCACGGGGACCGTCTAAATTTGGTCAATTATGTTACTTGCTTTCGAGCCATAATAATACCTGTTTGTGCCTCTTTCAATCAGTTCTCATTTGAATTAATGTAATAGTTCAAGGGATTCATATATGAATTTGTTTTTCCCAGGTTCTAGAAATTAGAGACAATAAGGCAAGAGTTATTAGGAGCAAAAGGGACACATACAGCGAACTTCAGGTTCTTGAATATATTTAGAGACAAATGATTGTCGACCAGGTAGGACAAATTTCAAGCAGTTTGCCTCTTGCTTGTTCTGTCATAGTATCAAATTGGAAATATGGAAGTAATGTTGCTACAATATCTTCTTCTTGTTTGTGTTGCAGCATTCAAAAGTTGAAATTTCTAGAGCAGAGTGATCTGTGAAGCACGGCATCATTTTCAGAGTCAGTAATACTTGGAAAAGGAACAGAAAGAATTTATGAAGTGACTTGAACATTTTTTGCCACTCCATAAAATTTTTTTAGTGTTCTATGGATGGGCTGTGTTCTGCATTGTGGAAATCCAATGTCATAGTGGTCGGATTCTTGAGGTTCCTCCCCACTCCCTGTAAGGACAACGTAATCCCAGTCTTCATGTTGGGTCACACTGATACTAATCTAATCCTCATGCCGATGCAACTTGGTGGAGCATTATAATGCAGAGGCATTTCAATTTGATAATGCAACAACGGTCATGATGATAATGATGATTGTCGTTGCTCATCCATGCAATCTTGATTCTTTATTTCTTACCGTGTATCTGCGGGAAGTGCTGGTCTCCTGGTAGTTCCAACAGTGGTAAATTTATCAGCTGTTGATTTGCCGAGCACACTCATTTCTTGCTTCCCTAGAGCTAGAAACTCGTAAAGACTGGCACAGTTCACCAACTTTGGCAATTCAAAGGGTTTTTGCGCGTACTATTCTCCAGTGTTTTCGCCTTTTTGATATAAATTTACTGACCTTTTTAAAAAAAATCAAGAGGTTTAAATCATTGATCTCTAATTCTCTATTCATATTTATCCCCCAATTTTCTGGACGATTTTTAGTATTTGTACACAGAAATCACTTGCCACAACTTAAGGATTATGGTTTATCATAATTACGGTTGATCTTCAGAGTGTGTGTGTGTGCGCGCGCTTTTTTTTTGGGGGGGGCGGGGGGGACAGTGAGTGTATCATGTCATAGCCTGAGAAATACCAGTAATATCACCCTTAAATGTGTAAAACTAAGGCCTCATTTTACAACCATGGTCTCGCAAAGTATATTGATGAATGCATTACCATGTCTAGCAATTATTGTGTATTGATCACCTTTTTTTTATACAAAAAGAGCAGAAAATTAATTGCTAATGCTTAAACAGTCTTGAGCAACAGAGCAAGTAGATTCCTGATAATAAAAGGATCACTAAATTGATGAAATTCAGGCTATGTTGCCAAGGCCTTCCGAACAGGGAAACCTGCTACTTTGTTAGCAAAATGAATAACATGAACGATTGAAACTTGCCAATTCCTCTTTAGAGTTGCACGAATTTCTTCAATAAGCTCTTTGAATTGGTGTAAGTCAATGTTTCCACCCTTGACCACGTCCATTGCATCACTAGAATCATTTGCAACTACAACTTTATGAAATCCAAGGCCCAAAGCCAGCTTAATACCTATGAAAATCTCCTAAAGCTCTGTACTCAAATAGTTTGTATCTACTTGGTTCATAAAGAAATTTGAAATGAAATTTCCTTGGCTATCACGCATAACACCTCCACATCTTCCATACTGACTAGTTGGGATGAATGACCCATCCACGTTAACCAAAACCCAATCTTTTTGGGGGGTGTCCAAATAGTCAAACTTCTATCTGGTGATTGCCCATACCAGTTCACTCTATGTTTAGCAGTGCATACAACACGTAAGCTTTGGATAATTGCATTAGCTTGAGCTTGAATAGGCTCATTGAACATCTGTTTACCTTTAAAGGTACGTATATTCTAACATCACCATATAAGCCAACACAGGATGGTGAAAAAAGAGCTCCAGTCATCATATTGTTCATTACCTAAGTTGTTGAGATTCCACTTACACCAAGATATGGTGTCAAGAGAAAAGAACATTTGACGTTGCCTTGGGCTGATCATCTCATACCAAAGTTTGTATGCCATAAGGCAGTGTTGTAAGACATGAATAAGGCTTTCCTGCTCCTTATTGCACTCAGAACATAGGCTATCATTGGTCATTTTTCTACAGCATCTTATCTAGTTCGTTAACAGATGGTCATGCACACAAAGCTGAAGGAAGTTTCTACATCTCTGTGGAGCTTTAATCTTCCAAACTTTCTCCCAATTAAATATCCTATTATGACCTGGTTCTTGACAGAATTATAAGCAGAACAAACAGTAAAGTTATTGTGTTTTTCCTACTTCCAGTGTACATTGCTGTTATCATGTGATCTCTCCAGTCCTTCCTCAACTTTCTTCCATACACTTTTAATTCTTACCCAGATGTTTGAGCCAGGATGTTGCATTTGAATGGTTGGAGGAAGATCCAATCCACATTTGTACTTCTCATGAATAACTCGAACCCACAGTCATTTGGTTTCTTCACCGGGTTCTATCCTAACTTCATTAAGAATGCTTAGTTTTAAGTCCAAGCTTTCTTGAGACCTAGTCCTCCATGCTTCTTATTTATACACACTTGATCCCCGAGATTAGATCTGTCTTCCAATTCTTTGCAGTGGTACCCTAAATAAAATCTCTATTACAATATCTTGTAATTCACAAGTACTAGCTAGAACTATAGATGTTTGCATAGCATATCCCAAAATGGCAAAGGTAACAGGAGCCACCAACACCACTCTACCCACCATAAAAAGAGCAAAAGCTTTTCAATTTAAGAGACGTTTCTTAACTTTATCAATAACTTGAGCAGAAGTATGCTTATTAACTCGTTGGTTATGAAGAGGAACTCCTGAATATTTACCCAAATCATCCGTCAAGGAGAAGCCTAGCATTTCACTTAGTTCCTCTCATCTGCTATTATGAATATAGCTAGGGAAGAAATTTTTGGTTTTGGCTGCATTCACCTTCATCCCAGAACAATCACAGAATGTTTGAAGACAATTTTTAATAACTAGAGCTCATTCCAAAGATGCCTCTGCAAACAATAATATATCATCAACAAAAAACAAATGAGAAATAAGGAGACCTGATCTTTCCATCCATATAGGATTCCACTTCAACTCCTCCATAAGCTGGCTGATGAGGCGTTCCATACAAATAACAAACAAATATGGGGAAATTGGATCACCTTGACATACTCTCCTTAAAAGACTAAACTCATCCGTTCTCATGCCATTCCATAAGACTTGTGTAGACGTAGACGGTACACAGTTTTTGATTAAACAAACCATATGAACAAGCAACCATAGATCTTCCAAACAAGAAGTCATGAAGTTCTAATTAAGTTGGTCAAAAGCCTTTTGAAGGTCATAAGTCTATTGATCACCTTTAAAAGCAGTACTTGCAATACTTCGCTATTGAAATCCCTAAAATGCCCTTATTTTACATGAATGCACCAGTTAACTTTTTATCTTGGGTGCATTGTTGGCCCACAAAAAAATGAAATCACATTAAATATATATAATGCTAATCCCATTGTTTTCTTTTAATTCAATATATATATATATATATATTTCAAATAATAGGCGTGTGGCTCATTCATTACATTGAGGATTATTATGTTTTTATATATTATTGTATGGAGCTTAAACAGTCACCCTGTTAATATTAACGAGTTATGAAGAGTGTGCATCAATATATATTTGATAAATATATTGAATTCTTGATTATTATTTTGGTTACATGTTGAATTATTGATTATTGAATTTGAGGATTGTCGATTCGTCCAGCCAATGGTAGTTGGCCGGTTTCTTTGGTTTTGTGGACATCTCTAACGACTGCTTCGTAAGCTCCGCCTCTGCTAAAACCCCTTCTTCAACCTCAGACTGAACCATTTTCTCTCTATATGTAACCCCTGCACACACATCTAATGTACACTTTGCTTCCCCATTCCATTATTCTTCGATCCCCTTCGCACCCTCCCTTAATCTCCAACATGACTTCTTTCCTCACTCTTCCCTCAATTTCTCTCAAGAACCTCCATTCCCCTCCCGCTTGCTCCCAGCCCGCCCTCCCTTCCAATTCCCTCTGCTTCCTAAATGGGATTCCGAGTCTTGGTTTTAAACATTCTGATCGATCTAGGGTTTTCACGAGCGTATCGGTCGGATCTCAGACGGCTGTCGATGATGCTTTGTTCTCTGATTACAAGCCTTGTACCGCTTTTCTGTTCCCTGGCCAGGTACATTTTATGCAACTTCGAGTCTTTGCGTTTATCAGAAACTAGAAGTGTCATTGTTGAAAATGTTTTTGTTATTATTCTTTTGGAATATAGAAAAGATGTGAAATTGAATGTTTTATGCTGAGAAATCTGCAGTGTGATGTTCTGGTTTTGTCTGTCTATATCCGGGGCAAAATTCACATTCGAAAGGTCTACCGACCAAGGAAATAATAAAAGGGTAAATCAGTTTATAAACACTTACTTTTCAGTAGCCGGTTTAATTGAACTTGGAGCTCGGCTTTGGGCACTGCTGTAACTAGGAGATGGTGTTTTATGTAATGACCAGAAGTTCATCAATTCCTTGGCAGATAATTAGAATTCGATGGGTTAGTTCAGGTTTCAAGCCAATCGCGTGCATAGCAATTGCAATCAATTTTTACCCTTTTTTTTATATTCAAATTAATAACGCATGTAACAGAGAAGACAACATATTTGATTCATTAGCATCTATTAAAATTTTTCTGTATGTAGAATGTAAAAAGTACTATAGGTTGAAGGTCTAAATATTGCTGTGTAATTTGTACGGTTATACTAATTAAAGAAATATATTTTTGATGTGCATGAAGGGTGCACAAGCAGTTGGAATGGGAAAAGAAGCTCAAAATGTGCCTGCTGCCGTATCACTGTACAGAAAAGCAAAACGACATATTAGGGTATTTATCCACTAAAAATTTCTCAAGTTGATGTTGTGGTGTCTAT